AGGAGACTCGCTTGAGCCCAGGAGTTGGAGGTTGCTGTGAGCTGTGATGCCACAGCACTCTACCCAGGGCAACAGCTTGAGGCTCTGTCTCAAACAAATTAAAAATAAAAAAAAAATAAAGAATGCATGGATATATTCCCCAAGTGGATTACATATATTTAGAGATTTTTTTTATTTATATAACATGGCATCAATTCAAAATGAGAACAGAGAAAACAAGCAATAAAGAAAATAGGAGTAAGTGTACTCCTAAAGGAAGTAAAGCGCAGGTTCAGCTTTCTTTTTTTTTTTTTTTTTTTGGTAGAGACAGAGTCTAACTTTGTTGCCCTCAGTAGTGTTCTGTGGCATCACAGCTCATAGCAACCTCCAACTCCCGAACTTAGGCGATTCTCTTGCCTCAGCCTCCCAAGTCGCTGGGACTACAGGCACCTGCCACAATGCCCAGCTATTTTTTTGTTGTAGTTTGGCTGGGGCCGGGTTGAACCCGCCACCCTCAGTATATAGGGCCAGCACCCTACCCACTGAGCTACAGGCGCTGCCCCAGGTTCAGCTTTTTCATATGTTAAATTTGGGGGTTACAGTAAGTCAGAGTTTTCTAAATTTTTCTTAAGCATGGAACTCTTTCTCAAATCTCTTGTCAAAAATTCCAATACAGGGTGGCACCTGTGGCTCAGTGAGTAGGGCACTAGCCCCATATCCCAAGGACAGCAGGTTTGAGCCACCAATGAAGAAAAAATAGCCAAACTGCAATGAAAAAAAAAACAGTCGGGCATTGTGGCCGACACCTGTGGTCCCAGCTAGTTGGGAGGCTGAGGCAGGAGAATCATCTAAGCCCAGGAGTTGGAGGTTGCTGTGAGCTGTGACGCCATGGCACTCTACCAAGGACAACAAAATGAGACTCTATCTCAAAAAAAAAAAAAAAAACTCCAATATATAATAAAGATAAAAGAACAAGCTGAGCCCGGCATGGTGGCTCACACTTGTATTCCTAGCACTCTGAGAGACCAAGGAAGGAGGAATGATTGATGTCAGGAGCTCAAGACCAGCCTACGCAAGAACAAAACCCAAACTCTACCAAAACTAGAAAAAATAGACAGGTGTAGTAGCACACAATTGTAGTCCCAACTACTTAGTAGGCTGAGGCAGGAAGATGACTTGAGCCTAGAAGTTGAAGGCTGCAAGCTGCCAAGGCTGCAGTGGAAAAGAACTGGACAGGCCACATGCTAAATTACACTCATCCACACCACCAGAGGGCACTGCAGAATACAGTCGGAAAACTACCAGACTATATGATCTGGTAGAGGCCCCCAAACTCCTAGACTTTGTTAAGAGTCAGAACATTTCCAAAAAAAAGTGACACACAAATAAAGGGCAAAATTTCCCAATTGTGCAATAAAAATAATTTCCATATATAGTTTTTATCTTCAAAAATCTGATAATCACCATAAAATAAGTATTTAGAAAAAGAATAGAAGGAAAAATGATACACAACAAATGTGTCTTTTTCTAAAAATCAGGATCTGCAGTAGAAAAATACTGTCTGGTTAAAAGGAGAAATTATACTGTAGCCTATAGTGCAGAAGTTTAGAAATAGGCTTAAGATAGGAACTAAAATTAATAAAGGAAAAAAACATGAAAAAAATGTATTTTACCTGTTGGCTAGTTGATGCACAGCTTCCAAAGTATCACTGTCTCTTCTGCAGCCCGTTTCTTGGTTATGTTGCTTAGGTCCATCTAACGAAATGAAAAATTAATATTTGTTTGTTTATTCTACTATTCAAGGACCTCTTGAAATTCTAGAACTTCTACTAAACAAAGAAAAAAGAAAAATCAGAATAATATGAATGCTAATAGAAAAAAGATATTCATCCAACTGCTAATTATAAAGTTATAGGCAGGTAAGTAATAAGAGACTATTAGCAGTAGGCTTTTGTAAAAAGATTGATAGCTCAGGCTAAAAGAAGTTTCCTCAAAAAGTGACAGTCCATAATTCTCCAGTGTTAAATGCTTCAGGTTTACATATACAGATAACGCAATCACCACATAAGCCAACAAGCCAAAAAAATTATAGTCCTTTGCACATTTCAGGGCAGCATTTACAACCTCAGTCAACCTACGTATTTATTCATCAACCTATCATTGAGTAAACATATGCCACTACTGTACTAACAATGGAAAAAAGAAATAAAACTTGGAAACCTTGCTTCAATGGAGTCAGCCTAAGAAAGGACAGTGATTAGTAAAGTGTTATGTTAAAGACAAACATATACACAAGTAGTATTTGCTTTAGATTTACAGTACTTAGCCTGTAGGTCAAAACACTTGTTTTTTTGCTGTTGGTGAGACGGAGTCTCACTTTGTCGCCCTCAGTGGAGTACCGCTCACAGCAACATAAAACTTATGGGCTCAAGAGATTCTC